GTAAAGATCATGGCTTGGATCAGGAGCACCTTGATCTCTAGACAGACATCATTGCTCCTCAGTACTCTGGAGAGGTCCCTGACAGCCTACTTTCCCAGTGAAATTTGTCTTTTGATTTCCTGGCTGCTGGTACCAAGAGTATTGATGGTAGAGCTAAGCAAGCTCAAGCTGTCAACAATCTCAATCTTTTCTCCATCTGTTGTGATGCTGACAGCTGGCCCACTGGGGAGAATCTTTGTTTTCTTCATGTTGAGCTTCAGTCCTTATTGAAGTCAGTAGCAAATGCCTCAGGTCCTCCTCAGTTTCAGCAAGCAAGGTGTGTCATCTGCATAGGACAAGTTGTTGATGAGTCTTCCTCCAACCCTGATGCCACATTCCTCCTGAATGATCTGTTCTGAATAAAGATTGAAAAGGTATGGAGATAGGATGTGTCCCTGACACACACCTTTTCTGATTTTGAACCAATGCAGTGTTTCCTGGCTCTGTTCTGACACCAGCTTCTTGATCCAAGTATAGGTTTCTCAAAAGCACGATTAAGTGTTCTGGGATTCTCATTCTGCTCAAGGTCAACCACAGTTTGTTACAAGTTAAGCCATTCAAAAACCTCATTTCCATCAAGTTGGAATCACCTCCTAGCTGACCCTCCAGTGGGTTTTCAGAGGCTGTAAATCATGAGAGGAGCTTGCCCGTCTTTCTCCATTGGAGTCACTGGTGGGTTCGAACAGTCCGAGGGGCACCATGTTTGCGTTAGCAGCGCCGTTCCCAGATGAACCTCCGATCCACGACTGTTGAGTCAGAACTGACTCAGAGTTGATGGCCCAGTGGGTTTCTGAAGCTGTCAATTGTGTGGAAGGAAATAGCTCATCTTTCTCCCTATGAGTTGTTGACTTGAACCACTGGACAGACATGGTCTTCGGGTCGTAGCACAGCTCACTGTGCACTGCACCCCCAGAGCTGCATTAAAAAGCCCCAATTTTCATTGAATGAGTGTTACTATGCACTAAATGTTGTTGTTGTTGATGATTGCCATCGAGTTGAGAACAACTCATAGCGACTCTATGAACAAAAAGCCTGAAGCCTTTTCTATAACTACTGTTGTTTCTCCAAGTTCATAGAGTTTCTAGAGGCATGTGGTTTAGGAAGTGGATGCCACTCCTGCTTCCAAACCTGAATCACTCTGGGAGCTCCACCAAACACTGCCCACGATGTGTAGCCATTATGGTGTTTGGCACACCTGTAGCACAGTTGTTCCATTATGACATTTGAGACTCCAATGGCACAAGGTTCAGTGTCACAGCAAATTCAGATTACCTCAGCCCAGCAAAATGACCAGAGTTCCTCCAAAATATAGTAAAAAGGGATTAAAATATAATCCCTCGGTCCCACCTTTTAAATATAAGGGTCCTCTAGGAGTGTCTTGTTAATGCTAAACAAGAGGCTTGAATAAAAAACAACCACGTTATCCATCACCAAAACAGGAACACCATCTTACAGAGTCCAGCCACTTCACCCAGTCTCCGAAACAGAGACAAGGGCCTGGCATTCTATTTTGTTGTTGTTAAGTGTCTTTGAGTAGCAACCCTATAAACACAAGACCTTAACCCTGTTCTTTAACTATTGTCCTTTCTCTAAGTTCATAGAGTTTCCACAGGTGTGTATGTGCTAAATACTACACTAAATATCTTGTATTACAAAAATAGCAGTTCCATATCCCTTCTTTTTTTTTTTTTTTTTGCTTGTGAAAGTAAAACTGAGCTCTGTCAGCATTTCCACGTCTGGGTTTTTGGAATAAGATCAGCTGGCCCTTCTCCTGAGGTGTCTGTGGCTGGATTGACCTTCCAGCCCGCCAGATAGCAGCAAACACATTGGCTATTTGCAGGTTCCAGGGACTCCACAGTGAAGAAGCATACTCGCCTGCTTATTTTGCAAGTTAGGGAAAGATAAAAACCACTGCACTATGAAACTTTTATTTTCTTTTATTTCATTCTAATCCTCTGAGGTAGAAATTGTATTTTCCCAATTAGAAAACTGAGGGTAAGAGTTTATTGTTGTTGCGTGCTGTCGAGTCAGAAATCGACCCACGGCTGAGCTTCTAGCAGGTTTTCCGAGGGAGTAAAACACATGGGAAGAGATTGCCCTTCTTTCTCCCGTGGAGCAGCTGGTGGATTCGAACTGTGTTCCTTTGGGATTTCAGCATAGCTTCTTCCCAATCACTAACCCTAACTAGAGGTCCCTGCAGTTAAGGTTAAGGCAGTAATCCCTACAGAGCAAACCCATCTGAAAGACAGGCTGGGTACAGCATGGGTATGGTTTCCTAACTTCATGTTATGAGGTTGCAGAACTTAAAATAGTTAAACAACGGGCTTGTAATGCAGGTTTTTATGCCTCTCAAGCCCATGTCTTCTCTTACTTTCCCATGCTTCTTCCCTCCTATGCTCAACTGGTACAAATTTTAGGATTTTAGAAGACAGAGCTGGATCTATTTCTCAAAGCATCTAAAACTTGTAACAGTGAAACTTTGAGTATAAAACACTTATGAGCAGGCACGCAGGAAAGCATAGTATAAATGCTTGACTCCCATGGACACCTTTTCTTAATAAAATTGTGCTTGACCCTCCCCTCCCCCCCAACGTCTTTAAAGCCTGCTTTTGGCTTTTGAGAGCTGCTTTCTGGGGTTTTTTTAGCCTGCCTTTGATCTTGACATCTCTAGCTGCTCACCCATCACAGCCGATTCCGGCTTGCTTCTTGTTGCAAAATGCCTGGCTCCCTGGGAATCATTAGTCTCCGTGTTTGAGTCCCTGTGGGTGGCAGGAACCTGTGTCAGCAGACATGTGTCTTCACTCTTTTCTAGACTCTGAGCAGGAGTCACAGGACTTCCCTTCCTTGTAAGATATTTCTAGGCTGAAGACTTTCTAGCCGACCCTTTTCTTGCAGTTGGCATCATAAACCACCTTTCACTCCAACTTTGTACATATAAGAAAGCTCTCCAGGGCACACGGCAAGCTGGTTGCTGGAAATTCTGCAGACTGTAATCCTAGGTTTTTAATCCTAGGTTTTGTTCCACTGATACCTTTGGCTAACAGTATATATGTTCATAAGAGAAAAACAAGCTTTTGGATTTTCTTTATGTCATTTTTAACCTCGAGATAACAAGTGTTTTTCCCTGATAACATTCCCAGCCCACCAGGTGGCTAGGCACCTGGCATTTCTCTATACATGCTAACATGTTTATTTCTGTATAAAAAGATAAGACTGAAAATGCAAAGACTCTAGAAGGCTGTCACATTTGCTATATTATAGTTATGCCACCTTGCAAATGATTGATATGAGAGACGCTCTGAAAAGGAAGTTGAGAGGGTGAGGCATAGAGAGAATGTAGGTATCAAATGGGGAAGAGTTTGGAACCAGTGTCTTCTCAGAGGTGGTGCTGAGAGCTCTTTAATCTCTGGCTTGATTGTTTCCAAAAGTCTGTCCTCTCAGAAACTGTTTACTATGGAAGTCACATCTTATGCAGAGAGTAAGTTTTAAAGGCAGTGTGAAAATCATGTATATTTTAAAATTAGTCTTCAGAAATCCCTTCATTCTTTCCATCAAGTGCAGTCCGCTGTGATTTCCCAAGAAGCCCAGCATTGCCAGTCCTTTCTTGGGTCTTCACTTAGCTCACCGCTGTTTCAGTAGAATTCCAGGGAGTTTGCTTGCATTTGGGGGCTTTGTGCATGAAAAATGCATGCTCGGAAGTACATTCCTTGCAGCCAGATGTTGCAGCTGCGAGAGACACACGGAAACTATGTCTACCCCAGGGAATAGATTCCTAGTCTCATGCTTACCTGGGGAGATACCTATGCTCAGAGATGGAGTGGTGGGGAGAATATGAGTCACAATTTCGATTATTCCCTCTCTTGTAGTTATTTCTTCTTTTCTTTTGGGCTGAGTGAAAGTAGTTGAATTTGGATGAGTTCAAGGTCATTTTACCTCTTTCCTGGGTATAGAGAGTTGCACTGCTGACCCCGGAGTGGTGCCTCCCTTGCGGTTCCGATCCACCGTCAGTTCTGCAGGAGGAAGATGGGCCGTCTCCACTTGTGCCTTTCACTGTCTCTGAAAAACCATGAGAAGGTCAGACATGAGTCCGTTCCAGCTCGACAGCAGAGTTAGTCCGTATCTTCAATCAAATGCGTGCTTTGAGGGCATTGTCTTACTCCCAGTCTGCCAGTTGAAGAACTTGATATTGGACCTGGCAGGAAATCCTCAAACTCAAACTCGGACTCAGGGCCACCTAGTCAGAACCAACTCGTTAGCAGACCCTCCAGTCAGTTTCTACAATTATAAATCACATGGGAGAAAATTTGACCAACAGAGAGGCTCAGCAATTCCCTACAGATTAGATAACATCATAGTAGACCTGATTGGTTCCAGCTCAGAAACATGAGAGACTTTTTTGTGACTTTTCTAGGAGCTCCGGTGGCCTAGTGGCAAGAAGCTGAACTGCAGCCCCAGAGGTGTGCAGTTTGAGGCCCCCAGCTGCTCTGCGGGAGAAGGATGGACAGTGTCCTCCTGTGGAAGTAACTGTCTCTGAAAATTCACTCGAGAGTCAGCTATGGATTGGTTCCGACTCTGTGGTCCACAACACACACACACATACACACACACACACACACACACACACACACACACGCTAGATAGAAACAGATATCATGCTGAGAAAGGTATAGAAAGAGAGGAAGAGCTTCAACAAGATGGATTAATACAGTGTTGTATGAAAGGAGAGCCTGTTAGCACTCCCCATAACAAGATGGGTTAGCACAGTGGCTGTAACCACGGCCTTGAGCGTATCAGAGACGGTGAGGAAGCTGTCTGATTGGGCATGGTTTGATCTATTGCTCCCAGGATTATTTTGTACCATCATCGGCTTGATGACACCTCACAACAACAACAACATGCCGGCTAGATACAGTGATCCCTATTTTGATAGTTCTTTTTCTCTCCCTCTGTTTAAATTCTAGGCTGGTTCACTCAGGTCCTGGGAAGGGGTCACCCCAGACTGGTGTGGATCTGTCCTTTGCAACCCGAACTGGTACCAGACAAGGGATTGAAACCCACCTCTTCAGGGCAGAGACCAGCCGAGACCTGTCCTACTGGACAAGGAGCATAGTCCAGGGATGTCACCACTCAGCTGAACTCATTACAGAAATCACCACTGGTGAGTATGACTGGGCCCGGGCTCCCTCCCGAGAGGCCCACAGTTCCATCTGCCTCTCAAACTGGTTTTCTTTACTGGCCTTTGGAGTGCCTAAAGTTAGAATAGTGTTATGTTTAAATTTAAATTTTTCTATATTAAGGGAACTATGAAAGGCTCCTTTCATTTAGCAGAATGTTTTCAGGGTTGGTCCGCGTTATATCATATGTCAGAGACCATTCCTGTGTGTGGCTCAATAATCTGTTAGGGCGCCCTGGTAGCGCAGTGGATAAACTTTCAGGATAAACCAACAGGTGGGCTGAAACTCACGAACAGTCCTGTCGGAGTAAAGACTTGACAGCTGGAAACTTGTAAGCAGACACCCAAGGTAACAACTCTTGGTTTCTCCCTACAAAGAAACACAAAAGAGAAAGAAAAGCAAAGAAACAATTCGTCCAAAGGGCTAATGTCCTTGTAAACCTCAAATTCCATGACCCTGTGACCTGAAAAGCTAGATGAGGCCCAGCTACCACTGCTGACTACCCTAAAATGAGAGAAGATTCTAGATAGAGTGGAGCAAAATGTGGACAAAAATTCCAAAGCATGGGGGAAAAAAAGTGAAGCTAAGTGGTCCCACAGAGACGGCAGAACTCCCGGGAGTGGGAAATCTGGAGTAAAACTCACTCCCATACCTCAACTTTTGACCAAACAATAAATAGACAGGACTTTAAACTGAACACTAACTAACACTGGGAGGAAAGGCTCTCGCTCCTTAGAAAAACCGGCTGTATATCATCTAATGAGCAGCATTTGTCCAAGAGCAAAACCCAAAAGTCAGGAAAGGAAAAATAGCAAATGATGGGTGGGAATGAGAGTTGCAGGGAGGAAGTGGGAAGGGTGTGGTTACATGGTGGTCATGTTGTAAAACACAATGTGTGTGAATGGAATTCACTTAGGTCACAATGAAAGTGCAATAAATATTATTGAAATCTTTTGCAATCCTGGAAACCCTATGGGGTAATTGAACTCTGTAGGGTCAGTAGTGTATCACAGTTGACTCAACAGCACACGACAGTGGCGTGTGCCTCACTAAAATGTAGTCTAAGGATTTGACTGTTTTGTTCTATTTTCTTTCTAGAAAACATAACTGGGATAGTCAAATGTCATTGTCCTATCTGTGACCCCTGGGTGGCTTCCTAGAACTTTGAGACACATATTACTTAGTTGGGTTCTTGATTCTAAACAACAGAAGTGGATTCTGGGTGATTAATCAAAGAATCAAGCTGTCAGAAAGCTCTCAGAATCGAGCTGAGACCTGGAGAGCCAGGCTGTGAACGGCCGGACGCAAAGACTTCCACGTAGGTGTTACAGAGTGACTGGGAAGCCTGGTGAAGTGAACACCTGTCCCAGCATGAACGAAGAGGTGTGTAGTTCACAGGTGGTGGTAGTTGTTGTTGTTGTGTGCCTTCAAGTCGGACCCACCCCATAGCTGATCTTCAAGCAAGTTTTCACCCAGCAGGAAACCACTCAAGAGGAGATAGCCCATCCATCTCCCTCAGTGCAGCTGGTGAATTTGAACCACTGGTCTTTGGGTTGACAGCGTAGCTCCTTAGCACTAGGCCACCAGCTCTCCCTTGGTTGTTCAGACAGTGCTGTTAAAAAAGAAGTACTGTTGGTAGGAGAGCTGAGATGTGTGTCTAGAAGGAAGACGCAGTATTTGTAGAGCACCTGCTCCATTCCAGATATTCCAGACCACGTCCGGAAGCCTGGTGGATCACTGGTAAAGTATTTGGCTAACGTCTGCAGTGCGGGCTCAGCAGCCACTCCGTGGGGGAAGGCTGTGGCAGTCCGCTTCTGTGAAGATTCATAGCTATGGAAACATAATGGGCCAGTTCCACTCTGTCCTGCAGGGTCTCTGTGAGTGCAGGCAGGCCCAACGACAGTGGATGTGTCAGGTTATAAAATGTCTCTTTCATATTGTGGGTTCTGAGCCCAGTTAAAAGAAGAAAGTCTTGAAAAGAATGATATGGGACAGAATTATTAATGTCTAAGTTTTGTTTTGTGGAAGCTTTGATTCGGGTGTGTGTGTGTGTGTGTGTGTGTGTGTGTAGCGAATATTTTACTGTTTTACAACATATATTTTACAACAAAGTTGTAATAAACTGTCTTATCTAATCCTCATAACAGTTTCCTGTACACATAAGAAAGCATAATCATTTTTTAATTAATTTTTTTAAATGCACACCCATGTTTATTGCTGCATTACTCACAAAGCAAAGAGATGGAAGCAACCTAAGTGCCCATCAATGAATAAATTAATAGGAAAACTATGGTACAGTCACATAATGGAATACTGTGCAGCACTGAAAAGCAATGAGCTTGTAAAACATTATACAATATGGTGGAGCTTGGAGGGCATTATGCTGAATGAAATATTGCAGTCACAAAAGTACAAATACTGAATAACACCACTGTTGTATTTTATTTTTAAAAGCTCAGAAAACTAGAACCCCATCCATTGTTCTTAAGCCTGTTTGTACTCATAGGGACCCAGTGAGATAGGGTAGAACCTTCCTCTAGGGTTTCCGAGGAAGATGTGGAAGCCCACATCTTTCTCTTACGAGCAATTGGTGGGTTTGAATTGTGTACCTGTTGGTTAGCAGCCTAGCATACAAGCCACTGCAGCATCGGAACTCCTTAGAAATTCAGAATTACCTACTTATTACACATTACTTCTTACTCATTGCCTGCAGGATCTATTGAGGGCAGAAATCATTGAAACCATTTTGGAGATAGGAATTGGTGGTTCCATGCCAGCATCTGAACTCAGCTTTCTACTTTCCAACCAGTGCCTAATCTGTTGCCCTTATTGTGCTAACAGAGCTTTTACAAATCTAAAACATACGGATTTTTTTTTTATGAAAGTTTACAGAAACGTAGGGTTTCTGGTCATTCATTGTTGCACTTTTCTCTCTGCCCACCTCCATCCGTCCAATTCACTCTTCTCCTTGAAAAGTAAAACTCTTTCATTGTTATGGAATCCCTCCTCCCAAGCCCACTCCACTGTGCAGCCTTCATTCTGGACTCCTGTCATGACAATAATACCCAGTTATATATCCCTTTTAAGCATTTCTCTCCCTCATCTGTTTCAATGCAGTACACATCATTCCTCCCCTCCTTCACTGTCTTCCCTCAACCCCAATGTCAGTCTCACTGTACAACAGTGGCCCTACACAATATTTGTCCTTTTGTGACTGAGATATTTCACTCAGCATAATGTCCACCGGGTCACCCATTTTGAATAGTATTTCATGCAGCATAGTATTCCATTGTGTGAATATACCAGAGCTTCTCTATCCATTTGTTTGTTGATGGGCACTTGGGTTGTTTCCAGGTCTTTGCTATTGCAAACAAAGCCCCAGTAAACATGGGTGTGCATAAGAAAGTATAATCTTAAAGTAACTTTCTCAAGATCACTAAACTTTGCTCTTTGCCAAAAGGCTGAGAAACAATGACCAGTAGTTTGGAAACGATGCTCATTTCAGTAGCATTGGGAGGATACAGAGAAGGCTTCTGTGCATGGACGTTGTGCAAATTCATAACATCGCCATTTTTAGTCAACATTGTAAATAAAAGAAACACATCGCCACGTGGTAGTATTTCTCCATATCTCCTCTAGTAATTTTCTTCAAACCGTGAGCCCTCACTCTGCTGTTATTGATGTGGGAAAAGATGGACACCACTTGAAGGACTTTGGGGGTGTCTCTGAAGCTTTTCTTCTTGGTGGTTTTTCTCTACGGAAAGATAGACAAACGTGTTGAGCTAGATTTTGAAGAGTCCAAGCCACTTGAAAAGTTGATGGAATTGTTCCATGTGCAATGGCGAAGAAGATCATACACCGTACAGTCCCTCGAGTGTTCTGGGAACAAATGAAGAAAACAAGAGCTGTGCGGTTTCTTTATGTTCACCACGCTGTGTAAGATATTTCCCTCTCAGTAAGCCAGACTCTTACTTTGACAGGGAAGATGGTGACGCTGTGGATAGACCAGCCATCGGAGAATAGCACGCATGTGTAAGGCTTGACACCGAGAAACCATGGCAATGACCAAAGGTGCAACCCAGTCCCAAATTGAAAGACGCCTGCCGCGAGTCGGGGGAAAGGGTTTATGTTTTAATCAGAGTTTCAATTAACTTGATAATGTGTTCCATTTATCCTGTGTAGATTGAGAACATCTTCAGATAGCTGATTCTATTATGTAAAGGCCAAGACTATCATTTGAGGTCCAGCAGAATTAAAACACCTACCAGTTGATTATATGAAGGCATCACTTTAAAGTTCAAGCATAGAAAAGGGAACTCTGGAAGCCATGCTGAGAGCCCATTGGCCCAAATGCTCTGCAGCTGGGAGAACTGAAAGCATCAGCCAAGAGGAGCACTGGTGTGAAGCCTTGCTCTGTGTGTGTCAGTGTCTGTGGTCATTCTTGTACGAGGATACCAGCCCTGCTAACAGGCTGACTTACAGCTCACCAAGGGCCTCTGCCCACGTGGGTCATTGACCTCTCAAGAGCCCAGGTGTGGAAAACACCAGTCCTTGGTTACAAGTCAAAAGATACCTTCTTGCACTGCAATCCCAGAGGCGCATGGTTCAAATCCACCAGATGCTCTGCCGGAAAAGGAGGGACAATCTCCTCCTGTACCAGTCAGATCCGATTTGATGGTACGCGCGCGCGCACACACACACACAAAATAATAAAAATTTTTTTTAAAAAGATGCCTTCTGTGAATTGGGAAAGGGCCAGCTGTTTCAACCAGCACTTCCCTAAGGTCACCTCGTTAGGTTGGGGACTGAGTGTACTTATTAGTATGTGGTGTATGTTGGAGTTGAATCTAATCCATCATGGGGTATTTACAAAAGAAGACTGCTAGATCTTTTCTGCCATGGAGTGATTAGTGGGCTTGAACAGCTAACCTTTTGATTAGCAGCTGGGCATTTACCCATTGTGCTACCATGACTCTTAATTCAGACATACTTATTATAAGACAAATGCTTATTGGCTCCAACCCCAGCAAACTCCTGCTTTTTTTTCCTTCCCCCAGAGTTTCAAGGCCTCTCATACCCACCCTCATTATTATTGTGGGGGCAGGAGGGCTGGGAGACCCTTTGCCACTGTCCCCCCTCACATTCCTCTTTGTCATGGGTAGCCACCAAGTGAGAAAATGTCATAGCACAGAGAGAAAAGATGTTGCCTTTTGAAACCTAACACTCCTGAGTTGTGGCATGGTCATTTCTGTTTTTTGCTTTTTTCACTTACTTTATTGAGCTAACTTCTTCTTTCAAAGCTGTTTTAAGCAGATTAAAGCTGGTTTGTAAAGCTGAGCGGAGCTAATGATGATTAGGGAGCAAAATCTCAGTCAGTATGTCCGTAGCTTCTTGTTTCTCCTCCCTTCAACTCCCAACCCCAGTGTCAGTGAGAAAATGGCCTGATTTCCCTAAAGATCTTTTAGACATTGATCCAGTCCTGAGCCCATTTTCTTTCTCTCAGGATACACTGTCATGGAGTCACTTCTGACTCATAACTCTTCTTTAGGACAGAGCAGAATTGCACGCCTTAGGGTTTCCGGGGATGTAAATCTTCATGGAAGCAGACTACCTCATCTTTCTCCCACTAAGTGGCTGGTCACCCTGAAATATTATTGTTTTGGCTAGCAGCACAATGCTTAATCCGTTGTGTCACTAGAGTTCCTTGCACTGTACTCATTGCTGTTGATTCAGAACTGATTCACAGCTGACCCTCCAGCGGGTCTGCAGAGGCTGTAACTCACATGAGAGAAGAGATTGCCCAACTTTCTCTCAGGAAGCAGCTGGTGGATTCAAACCACCTGCCTTTGGGTTTGCAGTGCAGCTTCTCAACTCCTAGGCCACACGGTCTTTTAGAAACTTCTGGAATTTCAAACTATTTATTAATAGTTTTAATCTTTGATCAAGAGTTTTAGAGTTTTGGAATATACAGTTCTTCCTAGCCAGGAACTAGGATTCTTGTTGCCGTCTCTTGCTCCAGCTTTTAAACTTAAAATGCTGGTCTCTTTGTCTGAATTCAGTGGGAAGCTAAGACGAAGGCTGACTCCTGACCTGACCTGGGTTTAGTTCTGAGCCTTGGGATTGGAGGCCACCACACGGATCCTGCCTGAGAGGGCCAGTTGCCACATTGGGCCAGAGGGAAGGAATTACATTCTCAATACATCTGAACTCTGCACCACAGCTTTTCCAGCATCCAAGATCACTCAAAAGATTAAATGAGCACTCCGTTCAGTTTCTATAAAGGGAACTCTTAGACATAACAAATCAGATTATTTTAAAACTACTTACTGCCAATTTCCTTGGTCTGTAACATTTTTAATGATGTGGAGGATTTATGTTTCTTACTGTAAAACTTTAAGAGTGTGTGTGTGTGTGAGAGAGAGAGAGAGAGAGAGATTGATTCTGGTGATGATTCCAAGGTGTCTTATTTTAAGTCAAATGCCAGTTTTTTCTGGTTTGAGACCACCAGGCCTATCTGGCCATTGGGAAACAACTGTACTCATACACCTACTCATTGTCAGAGGGTCAGATAAAGCTGGAGCCAAGATCTAGTTCAGTAGATTATCACAGACAGCATTTCTTTCCCCTAATTTTCCTTAGTTCCATGGAGAAGTTCAAGTTCCAGTATCAAAATAAACCAAAAGAGATCATTCTCATGAACCTTTCCTATTTTTTAACATTTCTAAGAAATCTGTAGGTGAGCTATGGGACTGAGGATACTTGAAGTGTTAAGTGTCTAAGAAAAATGGATTGACTTCTATGGGCACGTGTGTCTCATTCTTTCTCTCTCTCTCTCTCTCTCTCAGCTTGCACCTATAAAAACCAGGATTGCCGTTTGACCATACATTATGAGAATGGATTTTCCATTACCACCGAACCACAGGAGGGTGCCTTTACCAAAACCATCATCCAGTCTCCTTACGAAAAGCTCAAGATGTCTTCAGATGATGGGATCAGGATGCTGTACTTAGATTTTGGCGGCAAGGATGGCGAGATTGTATGTATGATTATTTTTCAGTTCTTGTGATTATATATGTTTCATTTTGCAGCCACTTAATGGTAACTCAAAAACACAGAGTGTTCCTCACATTTATATAATATTTGGCTGTTAACAAAGTACTTGCAGATGTGTGTCTTATTTGGTCTTTGAGAAACACTGATTGAATTCTGCTATTTCAGAATTCTGGTCTTTGGTCTTATTTTCCAAAGGAGCCCTGGTGGCATAATGAGTTATGTGTTGGGCTACTAACCAACAGGTTGGCAGTTCAAGCCCACCAGCTCCAGTGAAGACGGGTAGGCTCAGAATCCCGATGGAGCATTCTGCTCTGTCCTTATGTTGCTGTGAGTTCAGGTAGACTTGACCTCAGTGGGTTCCATTACAAACTTCATAAATATTTTAATTAAATGAAAGGACCTTTTGCAAAGTCAGTATTAAACCTTTATTAGAAAAAGGGTCCTCATCAGCACTAAAATGTGTTGTTCATTCTTTTAAAGTATCTCTCATGTTTATCCCCTCAACATTGGGCTAAGTGGAAGGCATGCAGAGATGTAAAATGCAAAGTCCCTGACACCAGGGAATTCGCAGAGAAGTAAGAGGGACTCATGGGAGCCCAAGTAGAGGTTACAGCAGGGAGGAAAACAAACACGAACTGGATTAATAACTCTGTCCCCGTGGAGAGAAGGTCAGACAGCAGGAAGAGAAACAAGAAATGGGTCAGCTCTACCCTGGTGGAGAGAGGGTCAGAAAAGGACACAAAAGATCTTGGCTAATGTCAAATATCCAGAAAAATCACCACATTCACCACTTAAGGTATTACCTGAGAGTCCCTGGTTGATTACAAATAGTTCATATGGAGGTTTGAGTTCACCCAAAGGTGGCCCTGAACAAAACGGCTGACCTTTACTTCAGAGAAACTCATCCATTGAAACCCTATGGGACATGGTAAGACTGTTTCCTGATGCATAACCGTGACTTGGTGTCAACCAGAGTGTGGTTCATGGGATAGAGATGTGGAAATCGGCTTCTGTAAGTATCACAGCCTGAAAACACTTTGGAGCAACTCGGCTCTGTTCTTCCAGGTTGCTGTGAGTTGGAATTGACTCAGCAGTAGGTGAACAATCTCTGTGAGATCCTCTCAAGGCACCTGGTTAGCCAACAAATATTTTTCACCTTCCACTTGATGAATAAGAATGAAGATAGTGTAAAACATAGAGCAGATTTTCATTTTAGGAAATTCTGGTTCTTTCAATTTAGTTTTTAGCTTTCAGTTTATGTAATCCTTCTCCCTTCACACCTCTCTCTCTCCAACCCCTTCAGATGCTCCTATTAGTCTTTATTGGTAATTCTCTGAAAGCCATTCAAGTTGCCTAATAGGGGCTTGGCATCCTTGGGTGGAAATAGTTAACGTGATTGCCTACTAACAGAAACATTTGTTATTGTTTGCTCTTGAGTCAGAACTGACCCACAGCTGACCCTCCAGCAAGTTTTCAGAGGCAGTAAATTACACAGGAGGAGACCGGTCCCTACTGGCCACAAGCTCAAAGTATGTGAGATAGAACTTCAAAATCCTTGTCTCTAAAGAGTAACTTGGTTTCACTCTTTCCAGTACAGAAATGTTTTTTTTCTCTTGTCCATGGTATATTCAGTATTCTTCTTCAGCACCAAAACTCAAAGGCATTGATTCTTCTGTCATCTTTAGCCATGTTCCAGCTCTCTGATGCATAGCAAGTTCGTGGAGAAGACCATGGCTTGGATCAGGTGCACCTTAGTCTCTAAACTGACATTGTTGTTCTTTAGCAATCTTGAGAGGTCTAGACCAACACTTAATAAAAGAGCTCTGTTTTGGTTCTTTGTCATCCAGTTGATCTGAACTGCTGAGCCCATGTGTGCAGAGAGAAGCGATTGCTTTAGAGTTTCAAAACTCTGACCTTTTGTAAGTAGATTTCCCAGGCTTACTTCTGAGGTGCCTCAGTGTGGATTTGAACTGCCAGCCTTTTCAGCTAGTTGTTACACACTTAAATATCTGTGACCTGTAGTGTTTTAGCACTGTGCTTCTAAATCGTGCCAATGCCAGGACTGATCTGTATTGAAGCTGTCACAGAATGTCACAGGCAGGCATGATAAAGTCGGTTCCTGTGTCAACAGGCAGTCTGTATTCACTTTCTGAGAGCTATTTCCATCTAGACGTGTGTGTGTGTGTGTGTGTGTGTGTGTGTGTGTGTGTGTTGTGTTATTTTTTTTAACCTTTCCAAGAGATCCACAAAATTTGATGAGAAATTTTTGTTTATGTATATGTCAGTCAGAGTTCAATCTGAGACACAAGTTTGTAGGTAAAGTCATTGAAAAGTACTTTATACTAAGCATACTTCTAGTTTAGCTGTTACTCTGTCAGTCAGCCAAGTATGTACTTCTTTCTCTCAAGGTGACTCATCCTTACAAAGGGAACCAGCCTCTGTGTCCTCTGTCCTCTTTTACCCTCGTTTTACAAATTCAAGGCTGTTTTGGCCCATGAGGAAAATCACTTCTGTCTAAATGTCAGCCTCTCTGCCTGTAATTATGAGCTGGCTTAGAAGATTTAGGAGGGATCTGATTTTTTCTTTACCAGTACAACACGGTGATAAGCTCAGTTTCGAACTCCCAAGTCCCACTGCCATAAAGTTGATTGTGACTTGTGTTGGTGACCCTCTGTCAGGTGTCTGAGGCCAGAAGGAAGAGACTGCCTTTCATTTTCCCACAGTCGCTCAGGGAATCAAACAACCAACCTTTCAGGTAGCAACACAAAAGCATTCCTTAATTTCAGACACAGTGCCCTGAACATTTGCTAAGAGAGAAAAACAGAGTAAACTGTGATGTAGGAGACCCCTGAGTTTGTCACTAACTTGCTTGAACCACCAGAGATACACAACTTTTCAGTTAGCACTTGCAGCTGGCTACAGACTACACTACCAGAGCTCTTTCAAGTTCGTTAAGTTTCACAGAAACTGTTGAGGTAAGAGTGCTCTTGTGGCACAGCAGTAAGGAGTTATGCTGCAAACCCAAAGTGCACACGGTTCAAATCCACCAGCTGCTCCATGAGAGAAAGATGGGTAATCTCTTCCCATGTGATTTACCACCTCTGAGAACCTGCTGTAAGGTCAGCTGTGAGTCTGTCTGTCTGACTTGATGGTACACAACAACAACAACAACAACATTTAGGTTAAAAAAAAAAAGATGAAATGGAAGGAATAAGCCCAAAGGTTTACTCTTTTATCTGATTTTGGGTAGGGATTTAAAATAATCATGATTTTTAAAAAGTACAACATATGTAGATTTGTTTGATATATAAATCATCATTCTGGATCGAGCATCAGTTTAAAATCTCTTCTTCTTCTCTCTCTTTTTTTTTATTTCAGCAACTGGACCTTCATTCTTGCCCCAAACCAATTGTTTTCATCATTCATTCATTCCTGTCAGCTAAAATAACAAGATTGGGGCTGGTGGCTTGAACAGAGGGGCGACTTGCCTTTGAGGAAAAGAGGCTGGGGTGCCACCGGGAGGTGATCCCTCTGTCATGCACAGTGCACCGACGGAGCATGCTACTGTCAGCCCTCAGGCTCAGGAGTTGCGTGTGACTTGTCCAGACACTTCTGCCCGTTTCAGCCACTGCAGCGGTTACCTTAAAGAACCATATTGGACATGAGAGCTCAGCTGTCTTTTTTAATATCATAAATGGGGAGAGACTTGAGGGTGATGAGAACTACCCAGCATAGCTTTTAAACGACCTCCAAGGCCACGGTCATTAGAACAGCATGCACAGATCGTAGTCATGCCAGTTTCTAGGCAACTGGTTCCCCCAGGTAAGCAAGGAATGAATAGATGAAAAATGGACCTTTCACCTCTCTCTCCCCCCTCAGTAACAATCACCCTCTGTTTTACTGTGATTTCTTTTTAATTCTGTGCTTTCCGTGTTAGGGACAGAAGAGTACTTCAAATGGAGACCTTCCCCTGCTTTTATTTAAGTATGAAGCAGCTGTTACTTCCCCCTACCCCCAGTGAATTATCTTTCAGAGAGATAAAGTGATATGGAAGTGTTCTCATTAGCATATGTTGAGTAGGGGTGAAAGAAAGCATCAGATAGGAATCAGATCTTGGGGAACTGATGGCCTCTGAGCGAGAGGAGATGCTCAGGTGGCAAAGCGCTGGTGATGAGGGGTGTGCACTGACCGCTGTCAATTCTGGGGCTATCCTCACACCAGCATCTGCTATCTTTTAGACAGACTGACAGCTTTATTTACAGAAAGCAAATTATGGGTATTTTTTTAAAAAAAGATTGTCGTCTGATACCTATACATAAATACATACAGCAACTGACATGTCAGGATTAACTAAGTATCCCCATCTCATGGTTTTCCACTGAAGTACTGAGCAGTTCTTGACCCTTGTTCCTGCCTGTGCTTGTATGCATGCGTTTTCAAACAAGTGATACCGCAACCCCATTCAATTTTGGGTGATGGTAGATTTTACATAGACACTCAGCGCTATGAACAAGTCTATTGATAGTATCCACAGCTCTTTTGGAATTCCAGGGAAATAATATAGTGACCTGATATTTTTCTACAAGAATATTTTCAGACAGCACATTACAGATTTAATGCTTTTATCGCCTATTATTGATTTTATGCCTTTGATTTCATCTTTTCATGCACAGCTAATTTGCCAAGAATAGCACCCATTATTTGATTTTTGAAATCATCCTTTCTCCAACCTTAAAAAAATTAGTCCTAGAATGACTGCAAACATCCGAATCACTTCTTTCCCCTGATGTTTACATAGATAGATGTATGGGTTTTATTTGGGGATTTTTGTTTGTTTGTTTGTTTTTTCAAGAATTACACTTTAGCCAAAACCTATGCAAAGAGCTTTACAAGGTGAGCTTATTTTGAAGGAATGTGTTCATTCTCTCAAGCCTGTGTGCTTGTGGAGTTGAAAGGTTTTCTTTTAAATCAGCATTTCTCCAAAGAAGACCCTGGAGCGCTAGTTCCAAGGGACACTGCCTGGGTGGTGTATTGAAAAGGGTGCAAAACTAAGGTGTTCTGGTGATCAAGAATATTTGCTAAATGCTGTGATAAAACATGTCCCGTGTCTGCAGTCCCCTCAAAGCCTTTTATCTGCTTTATGATTCTTCTAGGAGGAAACTGGTAACTCTCCGGAGCTTACCTGTAGATTTCCTTTCTGATGGAGCATCTTGTAAAGCTAGAATTTACAAATTCATCTCCCTCCCCCATTTTTTTTTAAACTCGGCTTTAGAACATTGACTTATTTTGGGGGCGGGAGGGGAAAATCTATGTTCTATTTTAAAATGCTGAAGAATGAAGTCCCAGCCTGAATATTGTAGAATGCTTTGATGCGTTTGTAAATGACACTGCACTCTTTCATTATATATTTTCAAAATCACTGGAATGTTGTTATACACAATGGTTCTTTGTGTGTAGTGTAAATAACATACTCAAATACCTGTATTAATGACAATAGTTTAATCCAACAATATATACTCTAAGGTGCTCAGTACGTGAAGGATGAGTTAATTACTCATCAAGTTGCAGATTCTACTATATATTTATAGACAAATAAAGTGACCATAACTGCGTATATTATTTCTTCATCACTTGCCAGGATTTGGACTGATTAATATTTGGGTCGAAGTGTCAACTGAAACTACATTCTCTGCATTTATAAAAGTTTAATTTAAATATTTATATTTTAGAAAATTATATTTGAATAAAATGGATGCATTTTCTGAAGGAAAGTCAAATGTGTTATTAGCAAGAAATAGAACATTTTATTAAGAGAGTTGTGTTTATGCATCATTTCGTTTTTCTTGCAAGTAAAAGTGTCTCTTGAGTGGCTATGATGACTTAATTTCAGATGCTCATTTTTTTTCTCCCTCATTTTGAAGTCAACAAGTACATTGACTTTACACTGTCAATTTAAATCTTGTCTTAGTATGTTAGTGTGAATGACATAAACTCCTAGATTTGGACCATGTCTGGGTAGTCGTCAGTGAAGAAGTGGGTCATTTGGGCGAACTGGGTTTTGTCCCATTCTTTCTGTGCGCAACCATTTCCTATTTGTATTGATGTATTGTTGATTTTACAGTGTTTGTCTTTAAACGAAAATCAATACACATGAGTAATGTTTTAATCTATCCTTTGGAGGAAGCTGCTCATTTTTCAGGAGATGTGATTAGACGGGCCTTCGGATGTGATTAAGTCTCTTTTGATCATTTCATAGATTTAAAGGCGGCCCAAGGGAATATAGGTATCAGTTTTGCTGATTTGAACTAAGTTGGAGAAGTAAAACCGTGACCACTAAAAAGTACTGAGGGAGGAGATTTTGACAAATCCTATAAATCGATGACATTAAAATGCAGTAAAGAGCTGTTCACTCTCCTTGGTTGAACAGCAGGATGAATGGTAAGTATGGTTCTTCTAAAATTAATGGGCAATGCCTTTGTAGCCCTTGTTTGCATCTTGAGGGTACTGGAATGGGCTAGAACCAGGTGGTAATTTTTGAATGTACTTTGGAATTTTCAAAAATGTGCCTATGACTATCATGTAAAATTTGTATGTGCTTTAAATAAATATTCACCTCTTGAGTTTGAGTGGAGTTTATATTGTTGTTTTTGTTGTTAAATGTCATCAAGTCATAGACGACTCATAGCGACCCTATGAACAAAAGACCTGAACACTTGTATAACTTTCATCATTTCTCCAGGTTCATAGGGCTTCTGGAAACAAGCTATTTCAGAAATGGATGCCACTCCTGCTTCCAAGCTTGTTTTAATCGGGGAGCTCCACCAAACACTGTCCACAATCGGTAACCATTATCGTATTTGACACATCAGTGTCACAGTGTTTAGCTTCACAGCAGCCATGAGTTACCTCTGTATAGTAGGTGGGTAGACCACTACTACCTAGAAGAATGTTTGACCAAAAACAATTAAAAACAGGCCTGTGGGCCGCAGAGTAAAGTCACTCACCTTTGGCTTGGTAACATCACTTTCTGTCCACGAGGCCAACTGATCTGATCTCTCTCTATACTGGAGTTTATATTACAAATATAGAATATGAAAGACTCATTGATGGTATCAAGCTGGCCGTAGAGTTAGGAAAACATCCTATTCTGTCTTTAGGAATAGTCTTTAAGAAAAAAAAAAGTTGCTTCTTCTCTGATGAAATAGTGGATGACTGATGCAGTACGACAGGGGGCTCTGGCAGCCAGGCCTGGAATTCAGGTCGTTTGGGGGGACATGCACCTTGCTGAGGCAAAACTGAGGACAAGAAGTGACTCTGTGTCACCACGCTGAGCTGTCTAACCAAGGACATGAGGATCGAGGCCTTGAAGGTGATTTCTCTTCTCTCTGCCCTCAAGGAGTCAGATCATTGGTTTTTGGAGGTTTTTTTCCACCCTGGAATATTCCTCAAGCGCGAAGTTTTGAAAATAATTCCTCTGCAGAGGTAGACATGTGCTGGGCAGCAACCTAAATGCCCAAGCATTCATTGCCACTGAGGATAACAGTGACTACACAATCAGGATGGGAATTGTTCACGGAGACAGCCACCACTGTCAGGCCATCCTCCTGGTCGACTTCTCCACTGTTCACCGTGTAGTGAGACTAGCCGGGGATTGAGGTTAACAGTTCTGTGCTGCTCCCTGAGAGGCAATTGGCAGCTGCACGCAGCAGCATGGGCATCATCTCAGACAGTGTGCCCAAGAAGCTGTGGCGATGACTGTGACTGATGGTTGGTTACACGACCACGCTGGGCAACTGCGTCATCTTTGAAATTCCTCCAGGGGCTACATGAAGGTGGCAGAGCATAGATAGTAGATAGGACAGGGTTCCAGTGTGGTGCTCAGTCTATGCCAGTCACAGTCAACTTGATTCTCACCACTGGGCCAATTGGCAGCATCCGTATGGATGGTGAAGAGATTGAGATAGTTAACAGTTTTAGTTTGCTTGGCTCCACAGTCAACACTCTTGGTAACAGCAGCCAGGAAATCAGGAAACTCATTGGGGAAGTCAGCTGTGAGGGACCTCTCAAGCGTACTGAAGAGCAATGATGTCAGGCTGGAGACTAAGGTGCACCTGATCCAGGCTATGGTTTTTTTTTTCAATTACGTGCTATGCATTAGAGAGTTGGACAGTGAATCAGGATGATAGAAAGAGAATTGATGCCTTTGAGCTGCGGTGCTGAAGAAGAATGCTGAATATACCAGGGACTGCTAGGAGAACAAACAGGTTTGTCCTGGAGAGGGTGAAGCCAGGCTGCTTCTTGGAGTCAAAGATTCTGAAGCTTCGTCTGACATACTTTGGGCATGTTGCAAGGAGGGGTCCTTGAAGAGGGACATCATGTTTGGGAGAGTGGAGGGACAGCGCAGGAGAGGAAGACCTTCGATGAGCTGGATCGATTCTGTGAGTGGAGTGGTGGAAATGAGTGTGTTTGAG